GGGGGGGACAGGAGCCAGACTGAAGGGGAGATAATCAAAAGAAACCCATCGCACACCTGACCAGATAAGACCCTCGAGTATCAAGTGGGTGCCAAGCAACCACGGATGCCTCCGCAAATCAGTATAAATGTGAAGAAGTCACTCGCACTCCAGCTCAAATTCAGTCAATTCAGTATATATATTATGTGTTGTAATTATGTGGCCCGGCCCCGTCCCTCAATTGCGCTTCTATGTTTGACTCCACCTCCAGATTGCGATAGGGCAGGGGCTGTCGGGGGTCATGTGATTGGGCTGCTCAGTCCAAAATGCCCGGGCCTATTTTGTGTCCCAGTCCGGCCCTGCATAGAGAGCAGCAGAAGCATGCAGCAGCAGGACCAGGTACCCAACACACCCAGAGTGTGTCAGATGCAGAATAATATTCTACAGCGGGAGCTCTTCAAGACAGCAAGGATTGGTGTCATGGGTCGTGGGACAAATAAGTGTTAAAGCCCAATTCCACTTTGGACGTTTAAATAAAAAATGGATCCCCAGAAAGCAAAAGAGCAGCTCCAGCTGCTATACTCATCCGACCTCCAGTGTTGACTTCCGCAGTCTCACCTATCCAGTGATCCAATGCCACTCTTTTTCTCGGTCAATTGACACCCAGCTTTATTCAACTAATTTATGGAGAGCCCAGAGTGTCAAGGTTCTGCCCACACCCTGTACCCACAAGAGGAATTCTGCAGAGAATGGTGCCATGTCATTACAACATACAGGTGAAACTCGAATAATTAGAATATCATGCAAAGTTCATTTATTTCACTAATGCAACTTAAAAGGTGAAACTAATATATGAGATAGACTCATTACATGCAAAGCAAGATAATTCAAGCCGTGATTTGTCATAATTGTGATGATTATGGCTTACAGCTCATGAAAACCCCAAGAACCCCAAATCCACAACCTCAAAAAAGTAGATTATTACATGCAATCAATAAAACAAGGATTGTACATAGAACAATATCGGACCTCTGAAAAGTACAAGCATGCATATGTACTCAGTACTTGGTTTGGGCCCCTTTTGCAGCACTTACTGCAATTACTTTTGCACGATATTCTAATTATTCGAGTTTCACCTGTATAGGATCCATGCACTGCTGGGGGAGGATAGGGGCAAAGAGAACCACAACACTGGACCTGGCTAAATACACAAGTAAAAAAGGTAAATATATATTTATGGGTGCAGGGGGGCAATTTACAGACAGTACTGAAAAAAATATAATTTAGCTTTAGCATGCATATATGATATTATGCTCTCATGTATTACTAATGTATTACTATAAAATGTTTGCCATTTTGAAACCAGTTTTAGCTATTGTCTAAATTTGAATGGATGAATGAACAAACTGTTTTATGCATTAAAAGATAAACTGTTTATTTCCAGGACTTCTGGGTTTCTAGTGGAGATAGACAAGATGAAAACAGGTATGTCTATTAGAACCTTTCTATCAAACATGTAGCCAGGTATCTGCACTTTCCTGTATTGTCTTGATTCACCCACTAGATGTAAAGAGAGAAGGCATATGCTTGCAAAACAGACTACAATGCATGGGATCGGAAGGAGATCAGAAGGTACAATTGCAAATCAAGGGGCCCTGTGTTGACTTGCAATTTCTTTCTGATTTTGGTGTGAATGCACTCTTAAAGTACACTTGTCAGCATATCTATGATCCTAAACTGGCCTCAGAAGTGAGCATGCACTCTCCAGTGCATGTATGTACCTCTGCAGAACATCTAGAGATCCTAGGAGCTCCAAATCCTGGGATACTATAATATTCAAATTATGTGGACATAAAGTTGAGAGCCAGATAATTCCCTCCTACTTCCCTAACTCCCTCTGGTCATCTATGAACAATAGTAAATTGTGGAAAGAGAGTGAGGAGATGGAAAGCCCTTGACTATTATAATGACCTGGGATTTGGGGTTCCCAGATGCCCATGAGGTTCAACAGAGGTACATGTAGGCACTGAAGGGTACATGTTTAACGCTAGTTTAGGCACCTGAATATGCCAACTGGTTCATTTTTTAAAAGCAATTCAACATTAAAATACAAAGAGTTGATCATGTTAAAGGGGGAAGGTAAGAAGAATATGCAAACTGTATTCGCTGCAAGTCCAACTACAATTAATTTACAGGACTGCTGTTTGGATCTTGTCCCCAAGAACTAGAGATTTCTTTATACTGTAGACTTGTATGGAGCCAGTAAATAATAAAGATCTATTGATGTATGTGATTTATGGATCACATCAGGATTTACAGCAGTGGAGAGGGAGTACAGGAAGAAAAAGGTGTATTTTCCACTGATTTCCCCCATGATTCCTTTGTACATTAAAGAACAGTTGCCCTGCAAGCATACAGGCCTTTAGTGTTTGCAGGCTTTCCTTGATACTTCCTGGCTGAGGCTGCTCAAGAAAAAAAGAATTGGCTGCATGGATTTTTCCATCGGATTACTACTGTTTTTGCCGGAGACATATGTCACCTGCAGTGTTTACCTGATGCAAACTTGCATGTTCATTCAATGATTCACTGCTCAGAACACTTGGTCGATAGCTGAAAACTTGCACAGCTGGCTAGCATCCAAAGTCTGTAGGCACTTTAACCTTAGCTGTTCTCTCTAGCTGGAATGTCATATAGGTAACATTAAGTAGTGAGGACACCAGTCAGCCAGCAGATACATAACTATGATAAAGTGTTGTCTAATTCATTTTGCTATTATTCATTTCCAATGTTTATATACAATTGCTACAGAAACACATCCTTGCCTCAAGCCAGAAACCACTACTACAGGTAGTTTTATATGATTTTCTCCAAACCCTTTTGCCTTAATGCTTAAACGCTAGGAAACTGTGTTTAAAATAATTTTTTTTTTTTTTTTTTAAGTATAATTAAGTCATCTTCCGTACATACAGCTTTTGATAAGGGCTTGCTGCACAATTAAAGTGGTTAAGAGTGTAAGGCTGCAACACCTTGTATTCAATGCTCTCCTTATCTATCTAACAGGGTTACATCATCTGGGAATGAGCTGAATGATGTCACTGGGCTCATCACAGGAAAAAAGGCAGTCCAGAAAATTGATCGAGAGCTTAGGGAAGGAACCAAAGTATATAAAGAACAACCATTTAACCCTTGCACTGCTAGGGTTAATAAAAAAAACTTTCCTGCAGTTCTTCTTTAAGGATTAACCCCACAATTGTTGAGGAAAAATCTATCCACACTGGATGATCAATGTACAATGTTTTAACAAACACTGTGCAGATTCCTACCTGTTTCTTTCTGTTCTAATGAAGAAATGTGCAGTGTCTGCACCCCATTGTCACCAAAAATGAAGTTTCTATTTGTGAGAGATGTCTAAAATGTCACTTGTATCTTAGTGCAGACGTCGATCAAAATCAGTCAGCCAATCACAAAAGCAGGAAAGGACATTTCTGGGGGCGTTCTGTAGACCATATGTGTACAGAATTGCTCTATGTGACCATATAGCATTGCATTTTTTTAATGGATTTAGAAAAGTACATTGGCTGCCAATTTAAATAGAAAGGCAATTTTCGATAACATTAAATTACAAATCTGTCTGTGAAGGTTCTCATTCATCCAGGTCATGGTATATCTGTAAAAAATAAGGCAAGGCAACTGGACTTGCTGTATTTTTCTTGAAGACGTTTCACTGGTCATCCAATCAGCTTTCTCTATTCAGAATGACTTGTACAAAAATCATCTGGGAATAAATATGGTGAATGTTGCTCCAATCCACATAATCTTAGTCACAACTAGGTGTTGATTGCATTTGCAGAATTGGAGCTAGGAGGTGTTAATAACCTGCCCAGTGAGAGGTGTTAAAACAGCATTGTATGTGACAGACAATGTTTCTTGTTTCAGATTTGCAGCTTTTGGTGTCACCTGCATGCTTTCTAGAAAATGTCAGGATCATCGCTGTTCTTTGGGTAGGCAGGTGGCACAGGAAGTGGAAAGGAAATAGTGGAGTGTGGCAGAGGTGTGTAAATCCCAGGATTATACAACTGCATTGGCCGTCTTGTTAGCATGCCCTCTTTTTTTAAAGACCATCTACAAATATGAAAATACGTTTATATATTTTAAACACTGGTTCTGGTGGCCCTGCTGACCACCAGTGACTTCCATTACCTTTCAGAGATATCCTCTCACTTCCTGCTTTTGACTATCAGACAAGAAGTTGGACACAGATGGCAACAAAAGCTTGCAGAGTTTATAACCCTCCCTTACTCTAATCAAAACTAAAAAAAAACAAAAAACGTTTTGTCTTCAGTTTTATTGTATTGCAATCTTTTTCTATCATCTATTGAGTTTTCACCTATGACCATGTTTAGAAGTTGTAGTGCTCTCTGGTGTTCATATGAAGACATTACTTAGTAATTGTAATATGTTTTATGTGTGTTGATGTAACTAGAAGAATGTTAACATCCTGCTGCTACTTATTTTGTTTGTTGACTTTTGTATTGGACATTTTATTATGTTTCTTAATACACTTCAAAATATTGCTTATTTCAGGAGGACCATTGCTGTATGAAGAAGTAAAACTTGTGCACAATTCAGAGTACCTTAATGGCACTCAGAGAGTACAGCTAGATAATGTTATTTCACAGGAGGAATGTCAAGAGCTCCAGGGAGTTGCTAGTGTAAGTGAACACTTTACACCAGTTTTCTTGTGTTTGTAGAGCTTCCTTCAAAGTGTGCAATCAGCTACACAATACATCTGTGCTGATTTTAAGATTGACAATAAATAAGTTATGATGGCTGTTTATTACAGGAAAGCCCTGTATGCATAATCCTCGGAAATACGAAAGCTTGAACATTTTTACTTTTAGAATTCCTGGAAAACAGAATGAAACATCTTTGTTTGCTTCAGAGCCAGTAGTAAACAGTTTATTGTAACATGTTCTCAAGCCTTTGACTGTTTCAGATTAGACTGTTTTAAAGTTTTCTCTACTTTACAACGCACAGCTTAGCATGGGTACCGCTTTGATTTTTTTTTAACGAGTTCAAAACTAGTTTTTTCCTGCCCTATTATAGAACAGAAAGGTTATTATTTCTAGTTTGTAAGAACATTCAGTAACCTCAGTTGACAAACCTAAAGAGAAATTAAAGTTTTAAACACCACCATTTGTATGTGATTAATTTAACAAATATACCTATGTGCTGATTAATTAGAATTAGTGATTGATGTATGAAGTATCAGCCTGTTTATACACTCACTCAGTGTATTGTGTGTCGGTGGGAAATGGGGACTTAATCATCCACTGCACCGCAAATGAAAAGAATAAATAAAATGTGATTTGTGAAATTTAGTCTACAAAAAGCGTGTCGTGAGCCGGTGGGCGACACAAACACTTAGGTTTATTCGTCCACTGATATGTTTCCTGAAAAAGGTCTTCGTCCACTGATATGTTTCCTGAAAAAGTATTTTTCAGGAAACATATCAGTGGATGAATAAACCTAAGTGTTTGTTTCGCCGACACATAATACACTGAGTGAGTGTATACACAGGCTGATACTTCATACATCAATTACCAATTCTAATTAATCAGCACATAGGTATATTTATTAAATTAATCACATACACATGGTAGTGTTTAATTCAGTAGATTAGCAATACCAAGTGCAACATATTAGTTACATTGTTTATGGTTTTTATCACACATTGTTGCAGCTGGTGACCATTTACACATTATTTCTCCTAGCGCAACTATTTGCCTTTTAGAAATTAAATCTATCCAAAGTGAACACAATTGTCTCAGGAACAGGTTACTGAGTGATTGCTCAGATGAAAACTAAAAAAAATGTGGATTTCCCTTTACTTTCTCTCTTGGTGACTATGGTCACCAGGACATGGGGCCATCCCTATAATGAGGCAGCCTGAGACGGTTGTCTCAGGCAGCATTTCATTGGGTCACGTAGGGGGGCGGCAGGTATGCCCTTTTGGTTAAACATGCTAGGAGACTCTACCACTCATCTAAAAGTGTTTCGTCACACCCTCCTGAGGAAGTGACCAGCTTAGAGCCAGGAAACGCGTCGAGACAGTGTTAGTTATGTGTATGTTTTATGGAATAAAAGTCTAAATTGAAGAAACACGGTTACTTAATTTTTTCCAACCGGGCGCCTCTGCTGTCTTGCACCTACTTTTTTGGGGGCATTCTTGTCTCATCTCTCCAGTACACATCAGCTTCCTCTAGCTGCCAAGCACTAGATCATCCAAACTCCAACCCGACTAGCATTGAGAGCCATCATCCTGTGTGGGGACAAACAATATTCCCTACACATCTTTTGAATTTCCTATGCAACATCTAGTAGTGATAGTGCCATGTGAATGGTATAGTTACATAGTTACATAGTATTTGAGGTTGAATAAAGACATTAGTCCATCAAGTCCAACCTATTAGGATCTCATTCTAGGAGTACCTGTACCCCTGTATATTACGGTCCCTTAAGAAATCGTCCAAAAGTTTCTTGAACAATTCCACATTATTTGCTGAAATCACCGCCTGTGGCAACTTTGAATCTATGCTGACACGGTCCTTGCTTCTGGAGGGTGGCTACTTTTGTTCTCCATGGTCCCCGTGTGTGTTGTAAAGTAGTCACTCCTCCATGCTCACTCCCGTGATGGACTACAATCTCACATTTAGTTAACAAATCTTTATTGAAGTTATAGTCCATCACAGAAGCAAGCTTGAAGTGGTGGCTACTTTACAACACACACACGGACCATGGGGAACAAAAGCAGTCACCCTACAGAAGTAAGAACAGTGTCAGCACAAATTTTGAGATGCTATCAATATTGTTCACCAGGGAATATCCACAACACATTAATGCCATCAATATTGTCCACCAGGATTATATTTGTATTATTATTTATAATAATTAATTATATTAAACACCAATATTTTTGGTGTTTGTATATTACAAATTCAGTGATGATTTGAGGATCTATAGCCGAGTGATACACAAAAAAATGATATATTTTTGTTAACAGGTAAGGAACTTGAATGCATTTTGAAGTAACTCCTGAGATAAGTGTCACTTTAACCTCTAGGCATAATATAGTGTAAATTTTATAGTAGTAACCAGAAATATTAGGAAAACTATTATCATATCTGATTATGTACTCTATAGTGTAGCCATATGTATTTTGTATAAGTGCTACATGGTAGACTGTCTAAGCCAGGGGTGCCCATTAGGTAGATTGTGATCTACCAGTAGCTCTCAAAGCTGATGCTGGTAGATCACGAAGGGTGTGACTGGTGGCCCCTTTATTCCATTTTGGTATATTTATTTATCTGTGCACACATGATTACCTATTAGCCTGAGTCTGCTGAGCTAAGCTCCGACACCTTTCTGGTGGATACTGGTGGTTGAAGTGCTATGTATTACATCAAAGAATATTAGTTTACACAGCTGGTTGTACTGCAATGTTTGCAAAATACAGCAAGGTGAGCCAGGAGAGAGAGCGGGGAGAGACAGCCAGGGGAGAGAGCAAGGAGAGACAGCCTGGAGAGAAAAAGAGGAATGACAGCCAGAAGAGAGAGAGCGAGGAAAGACAGCCAGGAGAGAGAGCAAGGAGAGGCAGCCAGGAGATAGAGCGAGAAGAGACAGCCAGGAGAGTGCGGAGAGACAGCCAGGAGAGCAAGGAGAGAGAGAGCGAGGGAGGTTTTTTTTTCGTTGGTAGATCTCATGTAGCTCATCATTTGGAAAGTAGATCTTAGCACAAAAAATTGTGGGCACCCCTGGTCTAAGCCATGCTCAATAGCATTGCTTTACTTGTACAACTGCTTAACTAAACTCTGTTTTCAGACTATAACGCTGGCAGGAGACGGATATAGAGGAAAAACGTCCCCTCACACTCCAAATGAGAAATTTGAAGGTGCCACAGTGCTGAATGCTTTGAAGGTAAATTAGCTTCATAATTTGGTAACAGATGGGTAACAGAAATTATTCTGCTAACACAATCTGCTTTGCAATTATAAAAAAAACCAAAGGCTTTATTTGTCCAAGTGTTTTAAAGAAGAACACTTCATCCACTCTCTTTTACATTCTGTCATCAGCATTGAATAATTTAAAGGATAATTTAGTTGTTATAAATATATTTTAAAAAACTCTTCATTCCAACAATTTCAGGAATAACAACCAAAAACCTCTCTTAGATAAAACAAAAGCTAGAGCACCCTCTGCTGGCAAACTGCATAACTAGGTGTACTCTAAAATTATCAGATTTAGAACTTCGTAAACTTTGCATTTTGTTAATATCTTTAATCAATGTTATAAATCAATAAAGCAAATTTGCTCTAATTTTAATTAGGCTATATTATTGTGTGCCTTCTATCTGCTCTGCCTATTGTGTATGTACAGTATATTCTGTATTACGGGTTAGTAGAGGAGATTTGGCAAAGAGTCACCCTTGTTGGAGATATTATCTGGGCAAATTTGGTCAAGATAGACAAATATTTCTTCTTCAGAGAGATGCAGAAAAAGGGGACATGTGAAAATGGCATAAAAGGGTGCAGTTGTTAAAAATAAACACAAGAATGTACTAAAGATTTCTTAAATTTGAAGATACCCCTTGTCTGCCATTGGGTCAGTCCTGTCAGGGAGCTTTAGTGGCTTGGTGCATATCAGCGCTCAGCAGGTAAATGGCACTTATTCATTAATGTAGCAAGCCTGCCCCAAACCCCACAACAGTGTAAAGTAACAGTAAACCCTGTAGCACTGGAGGCAGAAGCAAGTCACATAATACCACTAGTCTGAAAAGTACCACAGCTAAAGCTGTAGAAACCCCATTGTAAATTCTGGATCAGCCCACCTCTCATAAACACATACTTATTACAATAAATTAACAATTATAAAGACCAGAAGATTATCCAGTGTAGAGCTATGAAGGAAAGCTGCTGATGGCTTCCACAGGTATATTGCCCCATTCAGCCCTTGTGCATGGTCATGTGACATCACAGATCACATTGTCAGCACATGGAACACAAGAGGCAGTGTCGCTGTGAATTTGGAAGAGCTTCTCAGAGCATCTCTCTGATGATACACTGTTATCAACATGAAGGGTAATGTAGTATAAGGTGTCAGCAACCCTCCTATAGTCCCCATGTCACTGACTTTGAAGCTACAGGGGTGTGAAACTTTTTTGTTTGTACCTATGGGATTCATTTTTTTGTGGCATAAGTGCACTTAAAGGACGGAATTAACCCTATTGACAAAATCGTTATATTTGGTGGTGCTGTAGTGTCATTAGTTTTTAAGTTGTTTTTTGTTTTTTTTCCTACCACATGTAAACATTGCCTGTACAGTATTAGCAATCAGATTATCAGAGTATACGCATGGGACTAGCCTCACTATCCCAGCTTACAGCAGAGTGACTGAAATGTGCAGTATATTACCATATTCTTTCAGACTGGTATTAGTGACTTTAGAAATTATTCTTAAACCCAGTTATAGTAACGATAAGTTGCCAAAATAATGTGTTGCATATATCTAGTTTTGTCAGCTTGCAATATGCTAACATTTGTCAGCTTGCAATATGCTAACATTGCCTATTTTTCTTAAGTTTGGCTTTGAAGGTCGCGTTCCAATAAAAAGTGCTCGCTTGTTTTACGATGTGAGTGAAAAAGCTCGGAGGATTGTCCAGTCGTACTTCATGCTGAACACTACACTGTACTTCTCTTACACACACCTAGTATGCAGGACAGCCTTGCTGGGTAAGTAAAGACGTGTGACTTCAAGATATAGAGTGGATAGTTTCACTGAAACTCAAAGAAACATATTTGTAGTTCATTTGAAGGCATCATTTAATCATTTGGAGGAAATGTCCATATGGAACCAAATCCATCTTATTTTTTTAAATGCCCTTCTGTTAGGACTGGACGCAGACACTCCAGTGTGATTTCACCTATTACAGCTGTCTTAGATTTTCCAGTGGTAAATACAAAAACACAGAACAGTAAGTGCAATAACGGGACCATGCATTACAGGCAGCATTTCAGATACAGGTGGTCGTCAATGAAAACCGAGTATACATCATGTGGCCTTTTATTGCATCTAAAGAAAGAGGACTATCATAAACAGTTAGCGAGGACAGGTTGAAGGCAACCATGCAGTCAAACTATCAATGTCCTTACAGCCCATGAATTTAACATTTCACAGTAATATGTTCTGAAGGTACAATAATACAAAGTCCCAATAAGAGCAAACAAATGAAGAAGAGAAAGGTAAAAAGAAAGCTCTAAGAAGGCTTAAAAGAGAAAGAGGTGGATCTCACTGTTTCGGTTTCATCCCTTAATGAGCAGGAAACAGTATAAAGCAATCGTCATAAGCCCTCCAAAGGTTAACAGCCACTTAAGAGCAATGCAACTGCCTCATTAGCCACAGAAACTAGATTCTGCCATTTCGGGGTGCTGGAGTTTTATCCACGGCTCCATACCTGGAGGAATCTAGGTTGCCTGGAGGAATCTAGGTTGAATCTAGGTCCCATTCAATATACTCGTCAAACATTCGTTAAGCATAATATTATCCATCTTACCCAAAAACTCCATAAAATGTATTTGCTGCTTCTTCCAGTTACCAGCTAATGTTTACCTAGCTGGTAAAAACAATAAAATGAGAAAGTGCTTGCTGATGTTTATTTAAACCAGGCACATTAGAATGAAAAAGGGCACATTTCTTGTCTCGCACAATGTGAACTTGAAACAGCTTGAACAGTCATTTAAAGATTTTTTACCAGAAAATGGTAGCAAAGGGGCATTTCCACCAAATATGGAGCATGTCACCGAGATCATTGCATCCACGAAAGCAGCAGTTTGGAAGTGCTGCATTTATACGTGCAACACGAGAAGGCACCATGTACCAGCACAGCTGTCTTTCAAGGAATCTTAATATGCCCTGCTGGTACCAGGATGCCTTCAGGTCTTAAACAATACACTCTGAATGTAGAATGGCGAAAACGGGCCCAAAAGCAGAAATGAATGTCGCCATATGGCGATAGAGGGAAGGGAAGCAAGATCTTCAGCAGAGAGTGAACTAGAAGTAAACAGTGAGGAACCTGTTAACATAGAGGTCAGGACTGGCAGAAGACAAGAGAGGTAACCATTGAATGTAGCAAAGAGTCAAGACTGGCCAGGGCCGTCTTTAAGGCAGGGCAAAAGGGGCAGCTGCCCCGGGCACAGTCATTGCTGTGGGGCCCTGTACCCCATAAACTAGTGCTAATACTACATCTGCACCAGCCGGCTCTTCAGCACCGGGGAGGCGGCGGGCACAACTGGCTCTGGATCTAGAGAGGCAGAGCCAGCTATCAATCAGGTAGTGGGATGGATCCTGACAATATTGTTGGGATCTTTCCCAGCTGCAGCACGGCTCTGTGCTGTCAGCAATATTGCATGGCAGGGGCAGAATTGCAGGGTGTGGCCGGGCGTCCAAGAAAATGTTTGCCCAGGGCCTAGCAATATAAAAGACTGCCCTGAGACTGGCAGCAGACAAGAGAGGTATCCGTTAAATCTAGCAAAAGGTCAAGGCAAGAGAAGTATCCATTCAAATTGCAAGAGGTCAGGACCAGCAGCAGACGAGAGAATGTAGCAAGAGGCCACGGAAGGCAGCAGACAAGAGAGGCATCCCTTAGCAAGGAGTCAGAAAAAGAGACCGGAATGACTAGGAATGCAAGAGCATTTGATCAGCAGGAAAATGCTATCACAAGCAACAGGGCAAAGTGATGAGGCTTTAATCAGGTGCCTCTAAACAATGGCCAATCCCTGAGGGGTGTGTAGCAGACAAAGCTCACAACTGAACATAGCAGCAGGCTAAGTGAAGGTAGTAGGCTATGTAAACCTTCTTCTAGCATTGGTGTAGAGATCTGTATAAATATGTGTACTATTTAACTACCACACTTGTTTATATTGCACGAGACCTTCTATCCATTCTTTCAGTTTTACAAGCTTATTTAAAGCAAAAGTAACAGTATCAAGCCCCAGAGGGTTCAAGTGACATTTGTGTGCTTTAATTTGACATGGTCTGCATAGGTGTGCAAGGGTTTGTCCTTTGTCTAGAAATTCTTTGCTGTGAGATTTCTCTTTCCATCTCAGAAGATTGAAAGGTATAAAAACAGTTGCTTTGGATATGACTCAGGTAGGTTGCCTGTGGCAAGGAATGCTATTAAAAATTATGCTCTCACAGTTTTTGCCATTCGGTGGACAAAACATTTAGTGTGCAAGTTCACTGCCAGAGCAGTTTCTTGGCAAAAATTACCTGTTCAACTTTCCACAACCTACTCACTAAAGTCTTCAATAAAACTCACAGTAAAATCTAGTTTCCTTGGTTTGGGTATTTCAATATTTGTTTATCCATATTAAAGCAATATTTTATTAGCTGAACAAGGTAGACGAGATAAAGACTGCTAGAAAGAAACCTGATCACTTGGTTCCAACGTTTACCTTGTTCCTTTGCAAGCACTAGATATCTGATTCAGTGATCAGGATGGCACAGGGTGGGAGATTGGTGAAAACACACAAACAAGGTGAACCGGAGTGTGTTGAAATGGTCCCTCTCCCAAAGGACCCTTAACCTGATTTCCCCGGGGTGCAAGGCTTCTGAAAGGGGAAAAGCATGCTAGTCTACCTAGTCGAAGTCAGATGGGCCCCTCTTCTCATGGTCAGCTGAAGCCGACCACCGAGTACTAAGTTGCAGGTTTTTCTGAAGAGGGGAAGAAAGGAACCTGGTGGCCACACATCCTCCCCCTAGACTTCAGGGTAGGCTCGAAGACCCACACTTGTCATGCAGTGGAGTGAAAAAACACACACATAAGTGAAAGTTCATAGACAAAGCAAAATAAATAAGTACCAATGCACAAGATGTGCAATAGATAGGCCTTGTAGCCTGGAATTAAAAAAAAACCATAGTCTTAGCTAAAAGGCTTAGCCCAGCAGGTGTGGTGCAAAAAAAGCAGTAGGTGTTATGGCCTAGTTTAATTTCAGAGTGGAGTCCCAAACCCAAGGGCTCCACTCCCAGGGAGAGCTTGACACCACAGGCTTCCTGCTATCCTAGTCCCTGGCCAGACCAGGTAGAACCATTCAAATCCAGATGCACTGGGCCCCTCAAGATCCCTGCACTAGGTAAGTACTGGGGCCAGCCATCCCTACCATAAGATCAGGACAGTAGCACATTTTCCCTACTGGACACTGATAAAAACAGATACACTTAACCTTGGCCAAGAAGCAAAGAAGGAGTGGGGTAGATGTAGAGTAAACAAAGGCTTCTCCTACCTTATCTGCCTCTGAAAGACACAGAGCCTGCATGAAAGTTATATTTAGACTTATGATGTCTCCTTAAAGGAAAACTATGAGGTGACTGCTTTTCACTCACCTCATAGTTCTAGCCGACCTGTGACAATGAGACTGTCACAGGTCGGCTCAGTAGATCGGGAGGTGAGCGAACACATACCGGCGTTCGCTCACCTCTCGATCCTGTCACGGCTCTCTGCCGTGACAGGGGATGGGCTGGACTCCCCCCGCTCCGATCCGCCAGCGCTGACTGGCGGAACGGACGGGGGAGGGGGCGGGTACAGCTGGCTCTGCCTCTAGATAGGCAGAGCCAGCTGTCAGTCACGCAGCTGGGTGGATCCCGGCACAGTTGTCGGGATCCGCTTCAGCTGCGGCGTCTCAGTATACCGCGAGCAGCAGCTCGCAGTATACTGCGGCGTCTCAGTATAGCGCGAGCTACAGCTCGCGGTATACTGAGCTTAGGGTGACTAGAGGACGCTAGTTTGTGTCCTCCCGTTACCCTAAGGAGAACTATGGGGAAAAGCCTTAACCCCCATAGTTCTCCTTTAAAGAGAGCCTGACGCGCACCAGTATTTAATAACAGGTCGGCTTTCATTTGAAAGTTATTGAGTTAAGCAAAGGGAAAGGTCAACTATAGAAAATATAGGTCAATATTTTAAAAAAATATTAAAACATGCAATTCAAAGGTACATATTCATACAGTACATACTGTAGTGTATTGTATAAACCTATTATACTACTCAGGTGTTCAAAGTTTAGGAATAGTTTAGGGGCAGCATTTCAGTTGAACTCTGATTTAGGGTCCCTTCACAATATTGCGTTCATTTGGAATTGGACCCTAGTTTACCTGCACTGCAGTGCACTGCAGCCTATGGTTACACAATACCATGCATTGTGGGGGGCTGCATTTGATAAAAAGGTGCAGGTATGTTGTTTTGTCTGCTCTGGTGGGTTTGCAGCCCATTCAATAATGCACCAATCATTGTATTGCCCTTGCATCTCCCTAGTTTATGTATAAAAGCATTAAAAACTATTTATAATTATTAGAAATTCAGATTATGTTCTTTATAAAAAAATATTTTCATGAATTTGTTTATTTATAAGCATGCTGACAAGTATTGTGCATTGTGTATAAAATCAGGGTCCTATAATTCATATTGAAAGTCTACTACTTGTAGGTATGGGAGGTCTGTTTTGAGTTGTTAAGCCCAAGTGGGTTTTGTTGAGCATTATAAAAAGGAATAGTTGGCCTTGCAACAAAAGGGTTAGCATGACTATCCTGTTTTTAATGCAACATTCAGTTTTTTTCTGGAGAACTGTTTCTGCTTTTTGTTAAGACGTGTACAGTTTAAAAATGACTCCTATTATAGTGGTGGTCATTGCTACTTTTCATTTAGATGACAAACAATGCATGATATAAAAAAGTAGATGAATTCCATGCCCAAGATTTATACTTCGAACATAATAGCACAGCCATTGCCTGCATCTAGCCTCTTTGTACACTAGATGTCCTCAGTTCCACAGTGGATTGCTCTGAACACTCCATAATTGTATAGCCAAGTTCTGCTCATAACTTTTATGTTTACACTAGGGGATCAGGGGAAGGCAGCCTCTGCTCTCCAGCTGTGGTGGAACTACAAATCCCATGAGGCATTGCAAGCCTCTGGCAGTCACCGGTATGATCCCCAAAGGCAGAGACATGATGGGATTTGTTGTTTCACCACAGCTGGAGTGGCAAGGCCTACCCCTGCACTAGATGAAGACTCCAGTATCATTTAAAGGGGATTTTTTTATCTGCTTTCTTTGTGTATATATACTAATATAAGATTAAACTGATTAACACAATTGAGGTAAAGGTTTAGAAATGGTGCAAGGCTTTCTTATAAGAAAGTCCAGAGTGTACTTTGTAACCTCTGTAATATGTCATGGATACCCACGGTAAATATATCATAACCACCCGCTGTAATATGTCATTGTCACCCTCTGTAACATGTGAAGAACACCCTCTGTAATACATAATTATTTGTAAAGGAATGATTAAAGTAATGTAGTGAACAATCATATTAAATATCCGTTTTTATAAACTAATAAATGGATGACATTTAGTTTGGTAAAGCACTATCTTAAACAATTAGACATCTTTTGTTATTTATTATGTATGTGAGTTACAGCACATCACAACTCAATCCAAGGACAACTCATTTTACTAATTGAGCTCTTTTCTACTTGTTGCAGGTCAGCAGGACCACAGGAATGATTTGAGTCATCCCATTCATGCTGATAATTGTCTGCTAGATCCAGAAGCCAATGAATGTTGGAAGGAGTCTCCAGCCTACACATACAGAGATTACAGGTACACAAATTTCACTTTTCAGTGCATGCCACCTTTTAAAACTTAATCATTGAGTTGTAAAGTAGTACATTACATGACCTCTTAGAGTATGTATTCATGTGTTTTAAATGTATCTACTGCCTGACACTATTTATGCAAGGTCTTATCAGACTCTTTATGGCTTCATAAGTAAATTTAACTTGCAGTAATATAGAAGTGCAAAAATACAGCTAATGCATGTCAGTTGATCTGCTGATAAAGACAACCTAAATAATTTGTCTGTGCCCTCCTGCTTTAAGAGGAGTAATTCAGGGTAAACCTATGAACCACAGAAAGAGACACTGCCATTAGTTTAGAGGAGCAGGGCTTTTTAGCCCCCCCCCCATCAACATTTTTGAACAAAACTTATGCAGTTTATTAGATCAGGTTAGATCAATTGTTGTTTGTGTTAGATCTCACATAGAACTAGAGATATAACCCTTCATCAGCCTCCCTTATCAAAAAATTGACCAAACAGTTAGCTATTTTGGAAGGTATCTGTTAGGTCAGGTATGGTCAACTAGGTGTTTTGTTATATCTCGCATAATTACAGACTTATTAATTGATTAATGAGGGGGGTCTAGCCCCCCATATTAAACTTTCTGTCCAAAAATCATTCAGGCTAATAGATCTTCGTTAGATCTGGTAAGATCAAGTGGTTTTAATGTTAGGCTTCGATATCAATGTGACGTAACATGTCAGTAAACAGTAAACAGTGACCGTCGTTCTCTTGGCCTGGTCGGAAAGACAGGAGGACTTCCTCGTTCTTGTATGCTCATGCTGGATTTCTTTCCTTGCCTTACTCATATGAGATATTTGTGAGTACGTTTTTTACTCATTAAAGATTTTATTTATTGGACGATACGTGCTGTGTGTTTTCTGTTTATTTCTTTTTGGATGGATTCCACTAATGTGCATCTGCTATGAGCATATCCAGAGTCAGCACCTAAAGGATAATGGATATTTGGTTTAACATAAGGGGAGTAAGCCCCCCTTATGAAATACCAAATATCCATTATTTCTCAGTAATTATGTGAGATCTAATGTTGAAACCACTTGATCTTACGGAATCTAACAAAGGTCTATTAGCCTGAATGATTTTTTTA